TATCCCTGTTGCTCATATCTCTACTAGAGTCTAGTCTAATTATTGATGAATTAACCTCTTCCGATACTTTGAAGACTACTATACCAAGCTTGGCAGCTTCTACACTGTGAATAGTCTTCGGGGAAGGTCAACCACTTCACTCTATTCCGACTTGCTGAAATGGAAGGCTCTCTAACAGGGCTGTTCTTTACCAGAAACCTACAATTTCAGTGCAAAACATCGCCTTCCCTGATTGGATCATGAACAATACACTTCTCGATGCGTACTACTCCGATCTCACGTTTGATGCTACCAAAGAGAATTACTACGACATTTGGACCAAACTTATACTGTATGTGCTTTTTGTTGTTCATCCATATAATGGTTACAGAATCTGAATATGTATAGTGTAGTTCGTTGCGGACGGTTGGGCGTGTCAGGCGGGATGAGTTTGGCGCGGTGCCAAACCCGTTCTCCACCAGTTGTTAAAGCGAGCAAGTGATAAGACTGTATCATATCGTTCGTATTACTCGTTTTCTACCACTTTTGTCGCATGCGCGCTTCAACAAGAAGGCAGAGAACGGCTTTGACGGCGTGACACACTCATACTGCCTGACACGCCCAACCGTCCACAGCGAACTAGAGTATATATAGTATGTCCAAAATGATTTTGATCATTTCTTGGTTCATATGGATATACTGAGTGATTAGACTTCGAGCAAATACTAGTGGGAAATTGGCATTCCCCACCGGAAGAAGGAAGAGAGAGTTCGAAGACTCCTTATGACGGCACCCTTACGATTTTTGGCATTTTCAGTTTCAATCTTGGTCTGCAATACAAGCAGCTGACAGCACCAACAACTGATCGCAAAGATTTCCTTGGACAACCTGGTACAGTCAACGCTTGGTATCAGGTTCGTCTTCCACCGATTTCTTTCCTGAATCGTTTTATTCTAAAGGCTGTTTATTAAGCCCGAGTTGAACTCCATCACCTTCCCTGCCGGTATTCTCCAACCACCCTACTTCCATCCTAAGTGGCCAGCTTCAATAAATTATGGTGGAATGGGTCTTGTCGCAGGTAATCAACTCATTGTCAATTCAACCCTCAAAATTTCACTGTTCGAAAGCTATTTCAGGACACGAATTGACTCACGGATTCGATGATGAAGGTGTTCAGTGGGGACCGGGAGGAGAAATGGTACTCCCGGCGAATAAAAACTGCACAGGTTGGATGGACGAGGATTCAACTGCTGGATTCAACTCAATGGCACAATGCGTTATCAAGGGTATGTAAGCATACGTCTTGCGAGTCGTAAGAGGTCAAAAAATTCGTAGGTAGAAGGGTTGGAAAACAGAAGTATACGCGGTAATTGACTTGCCCGTTAAGCAAGTGTAGAGAAAACCGCAGAAAAGTTCCAAATAAGGCTCTTCCTGTTCCCAGCTAGAAACAAGATGTAAGAAGGTATTTCGAGTGATAAACACGGGAAGAGCAACAAAAGAGCATGCAAAATAGCAACACGACAGATGCAGCAATTAGTAACGCGGGCTCGAGCATTGCGCCTTAAAGAAACGGTCCACGATGACCTATGAAAATGCAAGAAGCTATGTGGGAAGGTAGTGCGGTCCGGAGTGGACAACCCTGTGCCAGTTTCGCGGCGGAAAGTTGTACGGTAAAGGAATTAAGGCGCAAAGTTGCTTCAGTGGTACATCCCTTTTTCCAGTGACTCCGCCTCCAGACTCCGCCTCCAAAGTCGGCCTTCCAGCCAAAAGTAATGCTCCCGGGCAAGTATCATGGAGTGGATGCATTCAATGTCTCTTGTAGAGTCATAGGGTTCATTACTGGGAATCAGCCGACGGGAATTGCCCAGCGCACGGTCTTTTCGGTCTTTTACCTCTACAAATGTTTGAGGCTAGAGGAGGCCTAACGAATGCGTTTCCAACGTTCCCTTTGGCATTTTCTCTTCATAGACGGTTCACTTGGCAACTTTTCTTCTTTCTGCAATATCACCTAGGCTTTTCATCGCGGGCCGTGATTTCAAAGATAACCCCACGATTGCGTACTGTGGGTAGTGGCGGTCAGAAATGGACCTGTGATCGCGAAGTGATTCTTCGAGGAAGGAAAAAGCGAAAAACAAATCATGGAGGACACGTAAGGACCCCCCTCCCCTCTAGCAGCCTAGTACGAGATCCTCTTACCTGCTCGTTTATGACAACAATGTGATCTCCTGCCTGCTCAGGCTCATAATCTTTTCTTTACTCCATCTGGAGCTGAAGGCTACTCACCAGTAAGAAAAAAAACAAAAAACGCGATATCTGCGAGAGAAAATGGCCTTTAAAGACGTCTTGTGCAAAACTGGGATTTGGGAAACACTATCCGACGAACTGTTGCACCAAAGCATCCACAACATTAGTTACTGTAACCCTTTTTACCTTGCGATTGCTTTTGACTGTATATGCTCATAAAGAAAAAAGTGATAAAGGAGGACAGAATCTCTTTTGATCGCGAGCACGGTCAGCAAAAACGGATACGCTGTTAGGATCTGCCCGCCGCTCCACCAAACAACAACCAAGGTTCCCTGCGTTAACCAAGAAAAGGGTTTTTTCGTAGGTTGGTGGTTCTACTGCATGGGTGTCAGAATTAGAGCTTTCGACAGCTGCAGCCATCTCCTCATTCATCGAAGGTGGGACAGTCTTAGAGACTGCCCACCAGACCACTTAGCGAAAACCTGTTCAAGATTTTTTACCGCGGTTCATACTATTTACACGAAAAGTTCGATTGTTGTGAATAATCGTCAAACATGCTTCTAGAGTTGCGTTTATTCATTTGGACAGCTTATTTTTACGAAGACGTCCTCTTGACGTTTATAGGTTTTTGATCTATTACCACCTCTTGCCACAATAATCTCTTCACTATTGGGTCGGCTCCACCCTGCAGCTCACTGAGTAAGCTAAAGGCGCATTCTGACGGCCCAACTGTGAATGCGAGTCGTAGATGTCGGATGCGATATCCTGACGAATCCACTTGCACCAGTTAGCCAGTAGCCAGTTGACTCGACCCACTGCGGTTTCATGTTAAAGGCAGTTGGCACGATGTCTACTTAGCCTAAAATGCTAGTAGGGCGCTGTATAGTGGGGAAATGGCGAAAGAACGGAGTGAAACGGTCAAAATCCGGCGAAGAAAAAGCCTCCGTTCTCAGTGACTTGTAAATCGATTTCGGACGAGTTTCCCGTACGCATCTTGCCAATCACCGCTACCGAAGATACGGCTGCATATGTGTACCCATATATGCATGCAGCATCACCGCCGCTTCATACCAATCCCTTTGCTTCATAATTTGCTCAGCAAATGAATGAATACGAGCGTCAGAAACGGTCGTCCGTTTGTGGGCGGGCGGGCAAGGAAGGCGTTTGGGACGTAAAGTTGTTGCTCAATAGGGCGTTATAGAGGTACCCTCCTTGGAAAAGGCTTCACGCAGCGCCTGTCCGAGGTCACGGAATTCTGTTAAGCCAGTTGTACAAATCCTACACCTGTATAGCGATTTATCGTGCCAACTGCCTTTAAGTCAGTTAGGTCCTAGTGCGATCCTATGGGCGTCATGTCGTGTTGTGTAAAGGTGGGTTTGTGCCGCCACTCCAAATAGAATGCACAATGTCTCGAGGTAGAAGCTCTAACGTCAGCCGTGAAAGGATGTGCTATCATTCCAGAATACAACAAATTCTGTCCTCTCGACCCAAGTAAGTACACTCCCAACTGTGTGAACGGTGCTCAAACACAAGGAGAGAACATTGCCGATAATGGAGGTAAGTAATGAACTGTAAATGATTTCGGTCCCTGTTCTTATGCCTCTTAGTTATTGTATACCTCCTTATGCCCCTTTGTCTAGGTATTCACGCTGCCTTCCGTGCCTATCGCACGCATATCGCTCTGGACGGACCTGATCCACTGCTGCCAGACCGACTTTTCGGACAGTTCACTCATGACCAGCTGTTCTTCTTGAACTTCGCTCAGGTATGTCTTTTTTTCGCTGTGCTTCTCACTAGAACACGTCCTGCGTTGAGAACTTTTTAACGGGATTCCTCCCATTCCTCATCCCTTGAGTGGCGGTATCGCATTTATCAGGGTAGATCTATGAGAACTTTCTCTCTCCACCCCTCTCCCCCAGATAGACAAATCGTGGGGAAAGGCTCTGCTCAGCAGAAGTTTTCCTCATCTTCAGCGCGTGTCCCACTTCCTTAGGGCTACTCGTTTGTAAAGAAATAATTATAACAACGTTTCCGATATTTTCACTTTTCAGGTCTGGTGCGAAAAGCAGCGCACAGATGACCTCCAGTACACTCAGCTCATGGTCGATCCTCACTCACCATCAAGGTATCGTGTGTTTGGAACGATTCAGAACTATCCAGCGTTCCAGGTTGCCTACAACTGCCCTTCAAACTCTCCTTATACTCCCAACCCTCACTGCAACGTGTGGGTACCAAACTATGAGCCGTGATACACTTAGAAGTTTTTAGAATTTCCGCTTTCCTTTTGTTCTGTTCCGAGGACCTGTATTGTACATTACCGTACCTTGATCATCGATGGCCTTCCTGTGAATTAGGGGTTACATATTATCTACTCAGCTATAGATTCTATCCCAGGGGCGATTCCACAGTGCTACAGATTCATTATCGTTTAGTTTTGTTTATTTAGTTGACTTCTGCATGCCATGATTGTGATACTTTCCTGAGTTTGATGTTCGATATAATAAAATATTGTTAAAACAAAACTCTTGGCGAGGCCTCAGGAGACTTTTCAAAACAGAGCTCCATAGCGAGATTTGAAACTCTCGTTTGTTTTGCGCTGAAGGTCACTAGTGGGGGTTCTTTGTTGATGAAAAAGTCTAGCCTCACCTCGCTGTTCCCGATCCTTGTCGTGTGTAGGCTGGGTATGCAGCTGCAGTACTGGCGTCATAGAAGAAAGAGCGGTGCTCAAATTAATCCTGGGTTGGACCAATAGTTGCGGTGCTGTACTCGAAACATAATGTGAAGGATTCGGCGCAGAAGTCCAAAGATGGAAGAACGAAGAAAAGTTCAGGCCGAGGAGGTCTCCGATAATGTTCATTCTGTACAAGAAGAGCGGGTGGATGAATTCCAGCCTCAAATGTCTGATTACAGTGACTGGACCGTTGTCGAACTTGCCCGCGAGAATGACATCTCTGCTATAACCGTTGGCTAGGTTAAAAGCCAAGCTGAAAATATGTAGAGGATGGTCAAGAGGGTGGTGTTTAGGTGTACCATTTCCTTGCATATGCACGAACGCAGACCCTAATTTCATGCCTGCAGTAGCAATGTTCTCCGCCTAAGACGTCAATCAAGACTATGAAAAGCACGCCGGCCCTAGATAAAATAGGGGAGGTGTTGTGGTCCGAGCCCAAACTCACGAACGGCTCTGAATGATTGAGGATGAGGATTGTACCACACAACGCACAAGAGGGCCGCAACTGCTCATCACCATAGCATTCCCAACTGGCCTTACTATCCGTATTATGGGGAAGTCTTTCATCAATAGCACAAACACTCCTGCATTCGATCGCCTATTCGTCCGACCTACAGCCACGCGTCTCCGAATTTTCTGGTCACTTGAAGGTATTGTCCAAGGGAACCGCTACCATGATTCCTTAACGAAATTGGCTTAAACAACAAGCTTGGCTGACGCGCACTACTGCGCGTATGGTTGAACCTATGGTAATGGTACTGATCGCTGACAGGATTCCTGTATTGACCCCGAACACTTCGCCCGATTACAATTTTTTAGAATACGGCCTATTTCATTATGTTTCTCCTATTTAACCCACTCGTGACAATGTCCGCCACTGGTGGTGGACACCGAAATGTCCACTTCGGACCATGTCCACCATATGTGGCGGACGGGCTTTTGATGAAATTTTTAGAAACAGTTCGAGTTCTTCGAGGAACTTTTCCCAGTGGTACAAGTCTTCATACCTTTGTTAATTTATGCAAATAGTGGACCAACGAGATCTTCAGATATAAGGGTCCCAGGCACGATTCAACTAGCAGCACCTGAGCCCAAAACCTCTAGAAAAATTTCTGCTGAAAAATTGCCGGTAGGGGTTACTCAGTGCCCCGATCACGAATGTGACGTCCGTTTCTGGCGCCGGCGGTGTTTGACGCCATTTAGCACCATTAGGACGCCAATTTGGCGCCACCACTTTTTTCATCAAAACCGGGGCGCCAGAATGGTGCCGCGCCAACTCACCACTACCTTTTTTCACCAAACTTCAGGAAAAGTTACAT